TATACCTAAGTATGGCGTGTGAAACATTATTTTATGGAATATATCGTGATGAATATTCAATATCTTAAGTGTGATGTCTATTCAATATTTATGATGTCTATTCAATATCTTGTGTCTATTCAATATTTTATGATGTCTGTTCAGTATCTTGTGATACCTATTCAATATCTTGTGATATATATTATATATTCAATATCTTGTGATGTATAATCATCTGATAATCTTGTGATATATATTCGAAATCTATTGTTGTATATTTGGTATCTAGAGATGTGTATTAAAAAATCTTGTTTTAGTATAAATTTATGAGCATGCATGATCAAAGTGTAGACCTATATGTAGCAGTGACATATAATATTGACAAATTCTACGTTTTTGCTGGTTGACCACACTATAACTTTTGCATTCCCTGATCATTCCATTTCCTTTTAGTGGTGAAACCGGTGGGGAATACTATTATAGAGGTTTCCTCTGCGTCTGGCTATATATACTGAGTAGATCCTTCTGTCTGTCTGTCTGTCTGTCTGTCTAGCTAAAGTAGCCACTCCTCCTCCCTGGAATAGAGTTTTCAAATCTGGGAAAGGAATTTTTTTTATCAAATTGGGTTATATAAAACTTATATTTTTTCCCCTACTGAGTTGAACCCAAACACCCCCGGCCCGCGCTTGTTATATCAGTGGACAAGGTGAATACTTAGGCGACATCGAGGTCTTATTTCCACGTTAAATAATTAATATAAACTGTAAGTCACGTACAGTTTATATCTATTATTTTATGATCTAGTTGTCTTTTCACGTGTTTCCGTTACCTATCTGTACAGTATATTTCGCTTGGCTATAGGCGATCATTAAAAATTTGCTTGGAGCTTTGGAATATTACACAGTTATGGAATGGGTATGAGAGAAATGGCAAAGTTATGGTTCCCGTGGGAGGAAATTATTTCCCAAGGCGGCGAATTAGAAAGGGAAATATTTTCTCAATGATTTTCCAATTGTGATACGATGTGCTAGAATAAAACTTATAATATTTGGCCGAGTCAACTGTATTGGGGGTATATCATAGTTTTTGCCCTGTCCATCCGTCTGTTTGTCCTCAGAAACTTTTCCAATGACTGTAAGTTGGTGTGGCTATTGTTTTCATATTTCAAATAAGTATTTCTTAATTGTGACAAGACTATTCTTAGGTACCACCAAATTTGACATCTTGACCTTGGGGTTTGACCCACTTCTACCAAAACATTTTCAAACCTTAACCTTGGCCAAATCATTTGAACAGTTGATGCTACTTTTTTCATATTTCACATGCTATTGCTAGGGCTGTCATATTTGAAAGGTATATTCCTTGTGGTTAAAAAATGTATATACTAAAAATTTTGAAAAAAGTTACCATGGAAGTTCCCCTTTGCATTTGAAAAACTTCTGACCCCCACTGGTAAACATATATGTGTGAAATGTGTATGAAAAGTGAAAGAATTTGTGGTTTCAGTATAAAATTGTCAATCCACACCTGAATAAACCCCCACACTAGGTTTTTCACGTTTTCTTTCCCAGTTTAGTTTTTTCCTTATTTTTAACACTTTGCAATCCGCTTGTCAGCACAATTTCTCCAAGTGCATTGAAATTTTTTTTGTAGCTGCAGAATTGTAGCGTTATGTTTTCCTAGAAAACATTTTGGATACCACATCTTTGACCCGTTGATGCTACTTTTTTCATATTTCACATGCTATTGCTAGGGCTGTCAAAGTTCGAAAGGCATTTGAAAGGTATATTCCTTGTGAAAAGACCTTCCTTTGAATACCAAAAATTTTGACCTTGTTTCACCTACTTTTAAAAAAATATAATTTAATTCTGGTTGTAACGCTGTATTTGATTGGATGAAAAATTACTTTATATCGTATAAAATGGGTTGCCTACGTCACAATGACTTACGTCAAAAACGTATCAATCCGCCTGACGTTACATTCAAATTTTGTACAAATTGAAGTTATTTTGTAAAAACTCTCTTTTTCTTACATCAAATAAATGAAAACTTAAATTATAAGCAATGAATTTCTTTCCCATTTTATACGTATAAACTTCAGTTTACCTTTTTTTAAACCGCTTCGCGGATTATAAAGCGTAAACTGCATCCTGTTTATTCCGATACAAAATTTATCTCCCAGTGCATTCCATGTCTTAATTAACCTTGTCCAAAACTTCTGAACGGTTAGTAGCTGCAGAACTTTTCGTTATGTTTTTTTGTGGCAAGACCTTTTTGGATACCAAAAAAAAAATTGTGTGTAAAAAACAAATAAAAAGCAAACCTTGACCAAATTGCTTTATAAAATATTTTTTATTCACATGCTCTAAAATATTCTACTTACATTTCAATCCTTCATAGATAAACATTCTTCATTTGATTGCAAAGCCTTTGAAATTCCAGTTTTTTCACCTATATTTAAAAAAATTTCAAAAATGACCTAAACTTTTACTCGACATTAGGGCTAGGGCTTCCACACTTTTCATATGTATTTTTTGTGGCTAAGAGTTGCATTGGATCTTTCAACATTTTAAAGTTGGCCTTTGTAAGGTTAAATCCGTATTAATTCCTTTCGCGAAAAATTAACTTGAAAAAGTTTAATCTTTGCTATGTTGCTATACGGGGGCATCAGTGTTTCACAAACACATCTTGTTTTATATTAGTCTTTGGCCATCACGCTACAGATCCCATAATGCAAAAAATGTGCAATTTACGGCGCAAGATTTTTTGTGCACTATTGGGGAGAATTTCTCCACTATTAACTATTCGTCAATCAACTACCTTTCTCTCCCTAATTCTATACAAAATTCTTTAACCAATCTGTATATTTTAAATATCCACCTCCCAAATCTTTATATTCGTCTCTACAGGCGATAAACTCGAAGTGAATTTTCAGCAATCCAACAGACATTTCAAGCAAGTTTATCGCCTGTAGAGACGACTATAAAGGGTTGGGAGGCGGATACAATGTACAGATTGCTTAGAGAATTGTGTATATAACTAGGGAGAGAAAGGTGCATGCGCCATATTAAAATTGCATATTTCCTGCAATACAGGATCTGCAGCGTGATGGCCAAAGACATACCCCCGGTATATAAAACCATTACTCTACAGTTCTGCAGCTAACCAACTTGAAGACTTGAGCCCGTTTTACAAAAGAACTTACAATCAAGACCAAAATTAATTCTGCTTTACAACTTTCTTATCTGCATTTAATTAAAAATAGTTTTCTACTTTTTCATATTTTCATGATTAAAAATCAATCATTAATTTTGCAAACGTCTGATACAAACTAAAATTTTTAATATTCTTAAGGTCAGACAACACGTTCCATAAATATATGTTTTGTATATCACTTGGTATTATATAAAAAATTATTCATATTTGCCAGTCTCTTGTGATTTCTACATACAGTAGTTTTCAAAATGTTTATAAAAACAAGTACACCAAAAATTGTGGATATAGGCCATTCATCAGATTACCCACATGAATTATACAAGAAACATCACCAGCTGGTAACTTGTCCCAGTGCCTGGTAAGATACCTTATTTTTTTTGTGAGGAAACATGTTCAAGTACCTATACTTCAATGACAAAGTCTTACGAAAAATTATATATTTGTGAGGAACGTGTCGTCTAACCTTAAATTCTTTGGTTAAACCCCAGGGCCTTTCCATGGCCATGATGGGCAAAGTACTTCACTTAAAAATACTCCAATTCTTTGTCTGCTAGATGCCAACGAGAGTTTTGAAGACTAGTACACTTCATCTAATCAATGAATAGAATTCCCTGGCTCAGTTTTCACAATTTAGTAAGGGACAAACAACCTTGCTTGGTTGTTCGTGTCGAGCTGGAGCATACCTAAGGTATGGCTATATAAAACGTCAGGTGCCTGTAATTTTAACATATCAAATTTTACTCTGTTCAGCAACATTCTCTGCTATAATGATGACCCTGATCTTTCCAATGTACCAAGTTTCATTGACTAGCCCTCATGATTAGCAACAAAACCTTGGAAAAAACAATGAATCCCTGCAAGGAAACCAGTCTCTTGGACAAGACTGCAGAAACTGAAGTCCCAAGTGACAGGTGCTGGCACGAAAAAAGACCCCCAACATCTCAAAGGCCTCGAGTGTCGAGGTTGAACTTTGAAGACCTCCACAAGATATGTGTATTTTGACAGAATTAAAAATCCTGAAAAGGGACATTAAACAATGTACAACAGAGTATGTTGCACTGACCAAGTACAAGCTGGTATGTTTCACCCCCGTTTGGTTTTGCACACAATGATTTTCATCCATTCATATAAAGAGGTATTAAATTGTAAAAAGTGGTTTAATGTGGTTTTAAATATCCTATCAACACAGAGAGATCATTCCCAAAATTGTTTTTTAATGAACAGTTATACTTTCTAGATGCACCATCTTATACTAAAGTCTTGTTAGCAGTACTTAAAATTCACTACTCTATGATGACCACCATTATTTCTGAGCAATAAAGTGTTGAATAATTCTTTTCCTTTCGAAAAAGCTATATACTTTTGTTGTGGCTTTTTCATAAACTAATTTCATTAAAATGTGTATTTTTGCTATAAATTGGTTGCAATTGACAAATATGCCTCATATCCAAAACTTGTAATTTATCTCTTAAGGTTACTGAAGTACCTTGCCAATCACTACAAAAAGACTCTCATTATCAAGTAAGAAAACGTCAATTAAATTACCTTCAACTTTTAAATGTTACATCAAGAAAAAATGTGAAGCAAAGTCAAATAGCGTAAGACAACAATTCAATGTATACTACTGCAAACCATCTATGTGAAAACCACACCTGTGGGGCATAAAACTTTATAGAGAAGCTAACTTATGATCTCAGTCTCATTTTTATTAAAAGAATATATAGTGGAAGAATGAGACCCAGGTCAAAAGTGAGCTTGTCCAAGTTTTATGGCCCCCGAGGCCAGAAGAGGAGTGAAATATCCCCTTTATCCCGACATAGCTTTTATTTTTTAATGGAATATTTTCAACAGCATGTCACATTTCATCTCAGAGCTGCCATTAATCACTGTATCATCATTCTGCCTCACCAGTCAATGGTAAACTGAAAAGATAGCTTGTTAATGCATAGACAACAAAGAAATAATCATAAGAACTCATTTATTTTCCCTTAACATGTAGAGCATGCATACAAACAAGTAAAATGAAGTATGAAGCAATATTTATAAATTACACTTTGTGTAATAAATACAGAACACATCCTTATTGTTCCAATAAAAATGAAAAATATAATGGCAACATATTACATTCATTCAAAAATGAAAAGTATTCATTAGACAGCATTTTTCAGTGACATCTTTTTCAATATACCCCTATGCCCTTTAACCCTAGGTTGACCTCCCATACCGTACCTGTGACCTACTACTACCTGTTTACATTATACTACCCAGCCTTTACAGAGGAAGTTCGTGGGGCCCGTTACTCTTTCAGGACGATTCCGATTTCTCTCTAAATATGGTAAAAATGAGTGATCAGTGTTGTGTAATTCAAATAAAAATAAATGATCATTATATACAAATATTACAACTTTGTCAATTTGTTATAGAAGTACAATTTTTCATACCTTGCTTGTATATACATAATTACATATATCTTACGTGCGAAAAATAGGATCATAAAATTACAGAAAGAATATTATATGTACAGCACAAACTGTAACACTCAGGCACCCTGGATTAGTCTTTCAACCCAGAATACCTTCTACAGTAATATCACCTTACCAAATTTGGTAAGACATCTATTGGATGGCGACTTCAGATCTCAGCTTGGATGGGATGTGCAAATCCAAACTGTTCTGTAAAGAAACTTGTAAATCATTAGTAATTGTTCAAGTCTTGTCATAAAACAAAATAAACAATAAACATGATAAACAACTAAATCAAAGTTATTATGTTTTTTGTTCCACTTGGGAAGTTCTTGTCTGATCTGCAATATAGTCAGAGGTTCTTTTTTTAGTTCTTTTTTTCTGTCAATGTTACCAATATTTACAGAAACCTTGATCATGTTAATGTGTGGCCCAATTCTAGCTAAGCATAACAAAGTGAACAGTGAAATAAAAAAAAATTTAAGTTACCATTTTAAAAACCTTGTTATGCAGCTGGGATTTGGGCCAAATTTTGATACATTATACCACCATAATAGGGACTGGCCATCCCATGGTAGATTTATGCACTTTTGGGCAAGTTGCTCATTCACACTGACTGTGACACATCACAAGGTTTCACACATTTTCTCCATGTTGGGCAGCAGCACTTGAACATTTAGCACAGAATTCCAGAGACACTTTATCCTGATGAACATGAAGGCACACTCCGCCTGATACCAACTTTGGTCGCTTATTTGTAGGATAGTCATGGTCTTTATCAATGGATTGCCTCTTTCTTGAGAATGAAGAGGAAAGTTCTACATTTTTTACATTAGGAATGTTCTGAAGCAAGTTTGAGAGAGCACTTTGATTGGCCAGAACACTTCTCAGGTAATCTAGTTCTTCTTCCATCACTTTGTGTGATATCTGTAGTTTGTCACAATTCTCTGATAATGTCTTGTTCTCAGATTTTAATTCTTCTACTTCATCTTCTAAGCTCTTGATGTAAGCCTTCTTCTTTTCACGATTTATTTTGGCCTGGACTGCATTTTTTCGATTCCTTTCTTCCATTGCTTCATAAATCTGGTCCTGTGTTTCTTGAGGAGAAGTATTTGCTGGGGTTTTAATGACTTTAATTACTTTGACTGGTGGAAGTCGTGTGTTGTCCATGTCCTGTGCCTTTTTTTCTGTGGAGTTTTGGACAGTTCGTTTGATTGGTGGAAGTTTTATGGTGAGCGAGTCCTGTCCCCTCTTTCCTGTTGCGTTGTGGACAGTCCTTTGATTCGCGTTGTTTTCTGCGAGAGCTTTCATTTTACCTTTTTTGGAACTCCGTGTTTCCCTTTTTGGTGCTTCAAAAGGAGGAATGGATTTCACAGTTATGGCAGCATTGGGAACATTTTCCTGCTCGGAAATAAAGTCACAATCGGGTGTAATCAGTTCACGCTTAGCTATTGAAAGGATATCGACAGAATTGTTAGAATTATCACTGGACAGATATCCAGCAATTTCTTTGTCTAAGGCGTCTGGGAACAGAGACATTTCCTCGTTCTTCATAGAAATGTCGCCGTCTTCCTCACTGGACACAGAGTAGCAGGGACTGGTCATTACACTGTATCCGCTGTCAGTCGAATGGCTGGGAGAGAGTTCCGTGTATCCCTCGTCGTCTGGAATACCCAAGATCACGTCATCAACCAAAATATCACTTTCCATGTAACTATCTAATAAACAAGTAATATCGTTACTAGACCCATCCAAATTGCATTCCATCGTGCAAGAATTAGCCTAATTTAGACAATACTAAATGTTTAGTTTTATCTAAAATACAATTATCTAGACAACCAATCTGTCAATCGCCCAAAGTTTTGATATTACCTACACAACACCACCTTTCTCCTTGCTGTCTCTTGTCGTTATAATAACGTATATCACAACACACTTCTTTTGTACTGCGCAAGAACGTTTCTTCTACGTTTGCCTTGTAAGCATTAAATAATACACGCTTATTGGTCACAGAAGTCACGTGTTCTAATACCGATTGGCTGATATATTTAAATCGTTGAGCTCATGGTAAATATTAGGTTTAGGGAAAATTAAAAAAAAAATTGTCAATTTATCACTTTATCAGCACATAACCAAGTTAAATATTTCAGATCATTCATACTGAGCACCCATCGCTAATGAGGGAGGTAGATCACGGAGAGAAAGAAAATTACATAATCTTTGCAAACTTTAAAACGATTTAAAACTCTATTCTGTTCCTTTTTAATTATTTTTGTTTCCTAAAACATCAACTACAAGGTCTGTGAAAGTAATACATCAAACAAAAAACAAATTAATTCAAGAAATAAAACGGCAGGCGTATATATTTTCTCTATTTTGTTCCTTTTTAATTATTTTTGTTTCCTAAAACATCAACTACAAGGTATGTGAAAGTAATACATCAAACAAAAAACAAATTAATTCAAGAAATGGCAGGCGTATATATTTTCGGCAGGCGTATTTTAGTATGACCGTTATTGAGCAGTCACATCCGTTGCCAATCGGATCACGCTCGCCCTTTTCCGTAACCGATAAAAAGATATTTGTGGTTACGGAAATGGCCGAGTAGTTACGATTGATCTGAAACAAATCGCAAGGAAATATTGGGTGCGTTCACAGTTCTACCATTAGTACCAACTTTCAATATACCATTGGTGCAATAATTTGACAATGGTACCAACTGTACCAATAAACCCTGAACAGATATTGGCATACAAATGTAACGATTTTACCAATGTTACCAATGGGAGCCCGATGGAAACGTTGGTAATACTGAATTACAGATTTCTTTGTCTTTTAAGTTCTTGGCACATGCCAGAATCGCAAGAAAATCATAGCAGACTCATAGCCGAGAAATAAACCACATCAGGATCACACTTCTTTAGTTGCCATATCTATGAGTTTTATAAAATCCATTTAATGGATCATGTCTAAATCATACTTCAAAATCATCAATTTAAGTGTTTGATATGATTTTTATGTGATTTTGGCTTGATTTGTTAAAAAGGCTTAGAGGAAAAATCGTTTATATCATCACAGGCACCTGAACCAACATTAACCACACTCTAGATTGTCTGCAGAAAAATATACCATTGGCAAAAAACATTGGTACCAGTGGCATGCCAATGGTAATTAATTTTACCAACGGCAACTTTTGTTTACCAACGGCAGAACTGTGAACGCACCCATTGTTCTTGAGTGGTGTGCGTGTCCTTCCACTGGGCTTGCAAAGTGTATGTATGATCGATCAATTGAATTCTGTATATATCATTGCGGAATGACAGTATTTTGATACTCACAGCTTACATTCAAAATTTCACTGTGGTGTGCATAATGTTATATGGCAAGAAGTGTTTTTGGATGATACCTCTATTTATCTTTTAGTAAGGCCACATAAAATTAATCCACAGGGGCTTGTGTATAGAAAATAAATCAGTTTAATAAACTGATTTATTTTCTCTACACAAGCCCCTGTGATTAATCTTTAGATTCTCATCCGAATTTGCTAAAATATTGGGGCGGGTGGGCGGATTTTATTTTTTATTTTTCATAATTGAAAACATTAACAAAACATTGACTCTTTGTACACATTTTTTTTCAATATATGTTAATGCTATTAATAATATGAATAGGTACGTTTTATTGTTTTCATTTTCTTTTAAATATCTACAGATGCTTCTTGTTTTAAAAAATTAAATATTTATAGTTTAATTAACAAATAATCAAGTAAACATATACAGCACATATGCGGCTGACGCCAAACAGAATGAGGTGCAGATACTAATAAATTCTGCATGCATGACTTCTCATCGCCTTTACTCAAATATCTTTTAGTTTTACCATTCCTTCTGTTTTGTGTAAAATATCACAGATTTCCACCTTCCTCAAAAACTCTTTCGTTCTTGAGACTAAAATGACATGTTCCACAATAAAATAGGTCACATTTGCAAAATCTATAAAATATCCTACTGAAAAAGCCAAGGCCTGAACAGTTTTAAAATCTTAAACATTTCTTTAGCACTATTATTCTCTAAAGTCTGCTGACAATGTTTTATTTTTTTTTAATGCAAAATCATGTACAGCTAGAGATCGTTAAAACTTGACCAGGTGTCATTTCCTCGTCTATTTTTACTTATTTAAAATCTCTCTAAAACTAATGCTCAGGCCAGTGATGATATCTAGATGTGTTTTTGCTATTTTTTCTTCTCTGCTTTCTCTATACTGACAAATTATGTTTTCCTTACATATTTAAACTGCTTTTACTGCCGATTTTTCTCCATTTTTCACATGGTTCTTTTGCTATGAATAGCGACGGGAGATTAAACTCTTAAACTTTGATCCAAATTCCTGCTGAATAAAAATACATAAAAATACTTTTAACACTCAAAACTCAAAATAAAAAAAACGGGGGCGGGACACTTTGAGAGGGGCGGGCGGGGATGAGAATCTAAAGATTAATTTTATCTGGCCTAACGGGGTTACAATTAGGGTACAGTACAAAACCATTGAAAAATGAAAGTAAAAAAATTCTGAAGGACTGATTGATCTTTGGAAGTTCATTCTATTTTGGGTAATATGTTTTATGGTGTGACCTTTGGGGCGAGCGCAGTTGTACCATCAAAAACACTTGGAAAAATTGATCAGCCACTTCAAACATCAAGCTGCACGAGACATCACGGAGCTCGTCGGAGCTTACAGAGACAGCCGAGCGTCTGGTTGAAACTAGATAGAATGTTCTATCGTTAAAATGATAAATGTCCTACGGACTCCGTTTAACGATAGAATTCGTTCTTGTACTCACAATGTAGCAAATGAAACACGGGCAATAACTCGTACTCAGTGTTTGGGTGGTATTCTAACTGTGGTGAGGGCTTGTCCCAAGACATGGTTCGATTATTCTAACTAGGTTGAAACTCACATAAATCAAAAATATATCGATCACATAAATATATGGTTTCACGTATATATATATATAATATGCAAATTCTATACACAGTGGTTTCACGTATATATTATATATATATATATATATATATATATATATATATATATATATATATATATACTGTGTATAGAAATTGCATATGATCGATATATTTATGTGGTTTTCAAATAGAAACATATAGATTAAGTTGTCAGAGATTAGAAATGAAGAAAAAAAATCAGATTTTTTTTCAATATTGAAAGTTTGAGGGGAGGGGGGAGGGGGGTAAGGATAATCCTGTCCACGAGCACCTGTGAAAATAGTCCCTCATAAATCTGGCTTCTTTGTAGATTTTTGAGCAGTTTTTTCGTTGAATGTTAAAAACTTTACATTGTTGAATTTTAATATGTCATAAAAATTGAATTTTAATGAATAGTTTTGAAGTAAGAGGTTCTGCGTGAACTTTACTAAAAAGTTGTCGAGTGACATACCTTAAGTTTAAACCCTGCTCACCCTCAAAGAAGTTTTGTGAAGACTCCATGGTTCATGTAGGAATGCATAAAAATATAAAACTTTGAATAAGGCCATAATAAATCAATTGCTAGATTCTCATCCGAATTTTTTTTTAAATCGAGGCGGGTGGGCAGCTTTTATGATATTTTTTATTTTTTCAATTTTGCAGATTTTTTATTGACCTGGTCAATCGGTGTAATTTTATCTACAATACCCGAATAAAAGTCATAGTAAAGGTTCAATTATCTCCTACTTCACATCATCCCCAATCTTTTTCAACCAATGACCCTTGTTTAAAATATATACGCATGTATTACAGCAATTACCATCTTTTCAGCTGTCAAAATCATGTTGACTTTCGCGGGATTTAAAACGAAAGTAGAATGGTAGATGAATACCGATTCTGATCAGAATTAAGATGAAGAAAAACAGAAATTTAAAAAAAATTGAGGTGGGGGTATAAAATCTGGGCGGGCGGGGATGAGAATCTAGGAATATTTTTATTATGGCCTAAATATGATTTTCAGTATCACATTGTTCATGACATTGATCCCACAGATCTCATCTTGTTGTCGATGGAACTCTCAAGGAAGTTGTTGTATATTTACATGTATGTATCATTATTAATATTGATTTTTTTTAAATTTTTGGTATGCAATAACAAATTTGTATTCAATGCTATTGGTCACAACCAACCTTTACAAAATGGAGTAGAAAAGATGAATTGAAATATGCAGGAAATCTAGGAATACCTTTAATATGTATGTTAGTTGCATCTACATTATTATTAAATAAATTCTTTCTTTTTTTAAGACTTCTGGAGTGACCAAAAATGCCAAAGAAGAGAAAAACTGACATAAACAGTGCCACACTGAAGTCAGAGGAGAGTAATGTCCCTTTTAAGAAGTATATGAATGAATCAAGGGAGATAAGTGAGCTCAGTGGAGAGGATGATCTCCCCTTATCACAGGACTCGGTTCTTTCTGTAGATGACCTGGACTACAGAAATTGTTTCGATGTTCTAACATTAGAGGGATTTAATGATGTAGCTGAAGCGTTACAAGGTTTGAATTGACTTCTAACAAAGTGAAAAGGAAAAAAGAAAAATGTATTTTCTATGCATGTTTATATACCCCCGCTCCGAAGGAGAGGGGGGTACACTGTTTTACCCTTGTGTGTCTGTCTGTGTGTCCGTGTGTCCATCCGTAACAAATTTTTGTCGCAGTTTTCTCAGCAACTACTCATCGTAGTTGCTTGAAATTTTAACACAATCTTCTCTGAGGCATGCCATATGATGGGATACATTTTTGCTCAAATCCGATGTCAACTTCCTGTTTGTCTGTGCGTCTGTCCTTTTCATACATAACGGATTTTCGTCGCAGTTTTCTCAGCAACTAATCATCGTAGATGCTTGAAATTTTAACACAGTCTTCTCTGAGGCATGCCATATAGTGGGATACATTTTTGTTTAAATCCGATGTCAACTTCCTGTTTGTCTGTGCGTCTGTCCGTTTCATACATAACAAATTTTCGTCGCAGTTTTCTCATTAGCTATTCATGGCAGATTCTTGAAATTTTATTACACTTTTTGTTGAGGCATGCCATATGGTGGGATTAATTTTAATATGAATCTGATGTCAACTTCATATTTTTCTGTGCATCTGCCAGTAATTGAACTTGTGCCTGTAATTGAACTTGTGTATATTAACATGATAATACTTACCAGTATTTACATCAGAGCGGGGGTATTACCAGTGAGCACTGGCTCACAGATTTCTTGTTGGCCTTAAATTTATCTATAATTAATATCTGTAGAATGCTAAGCAAATTTATTGTTCAATTTTTCATGAAATTTTCCTCAGACATGTGAGAGGACTATAAAATAGAAAAGAAAGTATTACAGACAGACAGAAAGACAGACTGACGTATGTATGGATAGGCTAAAATTAATATCCCCCACCTTCAGTGAAAGTAGAGGACAAAAGGGGACTCTTCTTTAGACTTTTGAAAATGAGACAGGGTCACACTATATGGATGACTTTTCGTTGCTGTGTAACTTTTGAAAAATGACAATACTTTTTTAATGTTTTGATGTGGATTTCATTAGACCCTACTGTCTGAAAATTTTATTGAAAACTGAAACTTGTCTAACTCTTTCTTCTTTTTTTGGAAACCTGCAATTTTCAAAATTCCAAGCATTATAATCTTAATCAAACTCCCAAGTTCAAGGTTTCATCTGAATAATGATAAAAAATATTTTTGGTGATGAAATCTGAGTTAGTTTTTAAATTTAGTTATGACTTCTGTAATTTCAGGGGAGGGTGTGACTAGTGAGGTTCTGGACATGGTAACAGAAGAACAACTGGAACGGCTAGGAATCAGGTGCGTTTGATTTACTGCTCTATTTACCGTACATGCTATATAGGCAGAAGTTTTAGCAAGAATATAATTTTGGTATTTTTAGTGAGGGTGTTGAGATTGCTAAAATTAAATTTTGTTAACATTGATTATACATGTATACTGAAAATGAATTTATGATGAGCAAGGGTGCCGGTGCCTGTCCAAAATGTTGAAATGTGTGGCCCCAGGGTTCCTGTGGGATGGAGCACCACTGATAATTGCTGAAATTTTTACTGATTATATGAAATGACATTTTTTTTATTCCCCTACTCTGCCCATTGGTATTAAGGAACCAAACTAAGCTTGCTTAAATGTGTAAATATGAAGAGCAATGGTACCTCTTTTAAAAATTTGAATGTCATAGACTCTGATTTAAAACACAAACCAAACTCAATTATTGGAAAATTGTTACATGTTGCTTTGCCTTAGGTGACCTATAAGGCCCATAGGCCTCTGTTTCTGATATTTCATTGTAATGTTTAATGTCCATATATCATATAGTTATGCAGAGATGTTTTTTGAATATTTTTTAGCCCATTGGGAAGGAGACTGGAAGCACTTAAACTTCTGAGAGAAATCACTGGAAGACTTTATACTTATAAGGTAACTATGTACTGAGGGCAGACTACCGTTTATACTAGCTCGCCTATAAGTCAGTTTTTTGGGAGTTAAACTTTAGTCCAAAAGTCTATGTCCGACGTATAAGTGAAACATAAAAAGACTGGTATTTTTCTGACTACATGTATAAACATTTTCAACAGTTATCATTGAACAAAGTCTTGACGTATTACATCATTTATGTATTCTAAGATTAAACATAAAGTACAAGTATTTATATACATGAATTTGATAAAATTTTTTAATATTACGAGGGCATTATTTATTTTTTATTGCTTTAAATTTAAATATCAACTTCTAAAAATATTAATTGAAATCAGGTTAAACCATCAAAATTTAATAGAAATTGTCATCTTATTCTGGCAAAAAGTTGTACCTACTTAAAAGCGAATTAACGGCAAATCTCACTGCAAATTAACCTAAAAAATATAACCGACTTATAGGCGGACGGACTTATAGGTGAGTATATACGGTACTATGGAAAGTAACATTGTAATTCCTGGGGGTAAGTGTTTGTTGGTAAGCAAAATTGTTTGGGTTTGTGGGGATGTATTATAATTTCATGTGTACTTGTATATTCAGATGATTCAATGAATAAACATATATTGAGTCAGACAAAATAATTGTTGGTGGAGATGTAAATTTGTGGATAAAATCTTATGAACTTTGGTTCCCCATGAACAAGGTTGATTTCACTGTATATACTTACAAGGTAACCACTTATAGAAATCACAGGAAGACTTAAATAACTTACAAGTAACTACTGAGAGAAAACTATAAAATTACAAAGTAAAGAGAATAGTTATCCAGGTTAAAATGTAGAGACATCAAAGGTTCAGTGATAGAGATACCGGTAAATGTAAATTATCTGTAGATTAGAGTTTGTGATTCCCCAGAGAAAAGGATGGGAAAGAACATCCTAATGCCTAGATTGTATTTACTTTTCTTTCCAGATTGTGAATGACCCAATTCATGGCCACATCGAGATCCACCCTCTGTGTGTGAAAATAATTGACACCCCACAATTCCAGAGACTGCGATTTCTTAGACAACTTGGTGGAAGTTATTTTGTATACCCTGGAGCGTCTCACAATAGATTTGAACATTCTTTGGGGTATGTTTGAAATCAATCTAAATGATAAAGATCTTAATCACTCTCTCACTTTTATACTAATTACTGAGCATTGGTTCATTTGAACAAAATTTTATTCACAAAAGTAAATAGGATTAGGCAGCAGGCACAGTTTATTTGAGCTGTCTCATCCTAAGTAATTATAGTGTTCAAGAATTTTAAAAGTGTATATCTTCAATCAAATAAGTGTAAGTAATTGATCTTGTTTATTGATTACAAACAACTGATATGCTTATAAGGCATATATCATTGCCAAGCATACAAATAATTAAAGGCCACAACCAATCAAATATTGAGAGTATAGAAAGATTTTCACAAGACAAGCAATTTGAAATTTACTTCACTGTTTGTCACCAACACTTACTTGATTGTAGAATGGAGCTTAAGCATTCAGTGAGATGTAAATGGGAAATATGTCACCCCAAACAAAACAAACTAGCCTTCCCCAAGCTCTGCATTCAATTGTAAGAATATTAGATAGCGGTCAACAATAGAATATGTATCTTTTTTTCCAGAGTTTGTTATCTGGCAGGAGAGCTGGGGTCCACCCTTAGAAAACGACAGCCAGAACTCGGAATCTCAAACAATGACATCTTGTGTGTCCAGATAGCAGGACTCTGTCATGACCTTGGTATAACTAGCATGAATGAATTGAATTACATCTTAATCAGTGACAGTTAATAGGGAAATGATGTAAAATAAGAAAACAATTGAACAGATATTTTTACAGACCTTTATTTGTAAATATTTATATTATAATTGGAATTTTGATATTCTTGGCAAAGATATTTTTATATAATTTTTTTTTGCTTTTGTAGGACATGGTCCTTTTTCCCATATGTTTGATGGAAAGTTCCTACCAGTGGCTAGACCAGATAAGAAAATCAAGGTAATTTTAGAGATTATTAAAATTTAACATTCCTCATTTATTAAAAAAGTACATATTTAACATATAGGGAGTTTTGAAATAAAACGTTTCTTCCATACTTGTATTACACATTTCCCGTAGCGTTCTGAACTTTGTCATTGTAGCATGAAGCCCTGTCTGTGAAGATGTTTGATCATCTAGTCGAGAGTAATGATCTATACTCTGTATTTGAGAAATATGGTGTCACAGAACAGGACAGGACCTTTATCAAAGAACAGATAGCTGGACCTCTTAAACATAAGTCTAAGGTATCATTACTTTGAAGTATTTATTAGGGCCCCGCAAGGATTTGCGGGTGCCCTATAGTAATCACTCTGTCTGTCCATCTGTCCGTCTGTCATTCTTCCGTCCACAAATTTTCTGTTTTTTCCTTATAACTTTTTTTATGGTTGCCCAATTAAGATCAAATTTGGTTTGGTAGTTCAATAGGCAGAAAGACAAATTTTGATGCTAAGTTTGTTTCTCTATGTACCCTGGTTTGGAACTGGGGTAAATATTAAATGGTAAATAAGGTAAATATTCCTTAAATTTATATAAGAATGCTTTATTTAAGACATTTCTTAGTCCTAAGATAGGTTCGTAAACATGCCTGCAGTATTATAAGAAACATACATATATATGCTCTGTCTGACAAGCAAAGACTGATTGGTACATGTATTTATCTTTTATTCTGTCTGTCATGATATTGTAACGTTTTCGCCGTTACGAGTTCGTAAGATAGGATAAAATAATTATTAATTACCAAATTGGTATTTGTAATTTATAAGCCTGGTCGCGGCTAATATCTGGTCTTATAATTTCTGGTAGCGAAATATGAATAAACCTGATGGCGGTTTTTTACTAAAGAAATAAACACAAAGATAATAAAGTTTTCTAAAATTATATTCTGTTATTCCAAAATTTAATAATGATAGTCAATAAATTAACAACAATTTATATTTCAAAATATGGTCACACAACGTCACTTGCTAGATTCAAAGGATTCCCCAAATTCCAGATAAAGTAAATTTCTAATACGAAATTTCCTAAATATAAATAATTATTACACACTTAGTAATAAATACAGGTTTTTTGCATATGCGATATGGCTGACGTCACAATAGCCGTATCAACCCTGCAGGGCTGATATGGATTTGCGGGGCTGATATCCGTATCAGCCCTGCAAATCCATATCAGCCCTGCAGGGCTGATACGGCTATTGTGACGTCAATATCACACCCTTAGTAAATTAAACCACAATAACAGCACTTGCACTCATACACAATTTTTGGTGGGTTCATATTCTCTTAATTTTAACTTTTTGAAAATAAGGTTAATCTTAATTTACAAATACATGTAATACTATAGAATATTTTCAAATTACGGATCAAGTGCATTGAAATAGAAATAGAAACAAACCCAAATCGTACATGTATGTAAGAAGTCCATGCATGATTATTTACTTATTTTCTTCTCAACTGTATTTTATTACTAAGTATGTAATAAATATAATAAAACATACCCTTTTCCACATCACATCCTGTATCAGCCCTCGACCAATATCAGCCCTCGGGCCTTCGGCCCTCTGGCTGATATTGGTGTCTCGGGCTGATACAGGATGTGATATGGAAAAGGGTATGTATTATTCTCTATATAAATTATCACAAATTCCAATTAAATTACCTGGACATTTCACAAATAGTCTGGTAGCGACTACAAAATAGGTAATATAAATCCACAAGTCTAGGGCTGACACTTCAAAATAACTCTTAAAAATAATCCACGTCTATCCACTATAATCTCAAAATCCCAACTGACTTCTCAAACTAGATGTTAACCCAAAAGTGACGTAGCACGACCCAACGTGACGTTATAAACCGCTAAATCGCGACACATTCTAGGTAAGACTTGTACATAATTTCCCGCGACCGGAAGTAATGGAAAACGAAAGTAAACATGTGAAATGACAGAATGACTTAAAATAAGGTAAATCAATGATGTACAACATGTTTAAATGTAATATAAACATACAATAATAATGAATGAATCTTCCGGTCGGAATAAATTAAAACCACAACATATTTCAATGTAGATAAACACACATTTCAAATATATACACAGTCAAAATCGTTACAATATTTTGTTTGCTTGAATTCCACACAATTTTTAGAAAACCTGCACTAGTCAATGTACTGAAAAAAAGTATTCCTTGAAGCCCCCCCCCCAAAAAAAAATAATGAAGCATGTCTTTTAATACTACATTTGTTCATCCATTGAATCTAATTAATATATAGGTAGTATCTGCTCAGGATTTTAAGGTTTGGTGCCATTACAATTCCAACTTTTCATAAAGATATTGTTTAACAGAAATAAGTTTCAAAAATAACCTGTCTAAACACACAGAAGTAATGGCTTCAGACTGCAAAGCCCTTGGGGAGATGCAGCATATAATTAGATTTTATATTTAAATATTTATTTACAAATATCAATGAAATTAAAAATTTTCTAGAAAAAATAACTATGTAAGTGGAAAGTTAGCAAGGTAAGATATCTTAAACTATGGATTTGGCTTTTATAATTAATGATACAAACATTACTTCTATTTAACAAGCTTTAAGCTACATATGAGCATATTTAAATTTTCACTTAGTAATGCTTTCATTTTCACAGTCATTGGATTCAGGTCTAAGTACTCTTCATTTCATCAGGATTCATCAGTGGGGGCTGCATTTATAGTTTTGCTTTTTCTGCCCTTTTTTTATGTTAACTGCAGTGATTAATTTTTTTTTTTTTTTTTTAGTTTTTTTTCTATCAAAATATGAGGTTAATTTTTTTCATGTAAGATGCAGCCAAAAAAAAAAACCTTTTTTGTTTCCTGATTTTCCTTTCTGTTTAATGTCTGCCTCTGAGTCAGTTTTTGACTCAAGATGGTAAATTCTGATAATTTCTTATCTTTACAGAAGCAGTGATATGTTAATTTTGTTATTCAAAACTTTTAAAAAATATGTATTTAAGGAGCATTTAAGGATAGCTGGTTTGCAATTTTTTTTTCTTTTAGTGTTCTTTATGTACTCAGAAAATTGAGAAATTTTTCATTATTTGATTTGGAAATCGGACATTCTGATGCAATTGTTTTGTAAAACACTCTTTGATTGGTTAATGCACTGATGTTTGAAGCAGTAAAACGAGCATTAACGAGCTTGAAAGCCTTTTCTTTGTGACGTCATAATAGAGCGACGCAAAAATACAATGCTCCGTGACGTATTTCATGTAACAAAATTCAACAAAATAAGACGTAAACAACAAACAAAATGCATGGATTGCATTAGAATGGGAATAACTAAACTTCTAATTTGGTATTTACGACCGTTAATGCTGATTTAACGGTAGCAAACATCCGTTTTACTCAGTAAACATCCGTAAAACTCAGTTTGGGACCGTTAAATCAGCATTAACGGTCGCAAATACCAAATTAGAAGATAGTTATTCCCTAAATTTATGTTTTTTTCTGCTAGGAGTGGCCATATCACGGCAGAAGTAAGGAAAAGGGATTCTTGTATGAGGTAAAATATTGTGAATCAAATTCATATGTTTAATATTTTATCCACAGTGAAATATATTTGATATATAGCCCACCCACCCCCTTTTATGCCCTTCATTGAAAACTCCTTTAGAATATTAATTATTGTAAACATATATTTTATAAATGTACTTTTGTTATTCTATATGATTGGCTGTATTTTCTTGGGTTGTATTGACTGAGTAAACTATCCATATTTCATGAACTAGTGTCTAGAAAGAAATTTTAGATTTGACATCCTAATTCCTAAAAAGGATTGTTAAGATGGTGCATTTGAACTAAGAAAAACTTTAAACTTCTCATTTGCAAAAGTATCTGTAGAAACAAACCTGTCATAGTAACCATTGTTTGTAGAAACTTTTGTTCATGATGGTATTTAAAACTGCATTCCCTTTGTAACATGACACACATAAAGTATTATCTATGTTACAGATTGTAGCCAACAAGAGGAATGGGATTGATGTAGATAAGTGGGACTACTTTGCTAGGGATTGTCATATGTTAGGGATCAGGAACAACTTTGACCATACCAGATGTATGAAATATGCTCGAGTTTTGAGTGTAGATGGTGAACTACAAATATGTTCTCGAGACAAGGTACATGCAAATATACTTCTGTCTTCTATGTTTTGTCTTTTGATCTGCATTGGTTCTGCTAGATTCCCAAGGTCAATATTTAGTAGATGTATCAGAATAAATATTGTTGATGCTATATGTTTAACCACAACAGCTATAACAATTTAAAGCACTCACAATGAAATCAATAAACAGTGACCAGTGGATTTCTTTTTCACAATTAATAAATTAATACATGGCAAGTAAAGGCAAATTCTCTGACTTAACAGTGATTTTAATTCAAATGTTTAGAGAGTGAGTATTATGGATTATGTTTAAACTATTTTGTGATTTGTAGGAGGTTGGCAACTTGTATGACATGTTTCATACCAGGAATACTCTCCACAGACGAGCATACCAACACAGTGTTGGAAATATCATAGAAACCATGTAAGTATAGTGTTTCCTTATGTGACACTTTCAGTAGTGAAATATGTCATTTTTTAATGGAATAAAAGTAACATTTTTCGAAGTGAAAAGTTTCAATTATAAAGAAAATACTCCATGTTAAAAAATAATGAATTTTAATGTAAATAAACCATCCTGATGCAAATCTCAATTAAAGATTCTCCAAGTAATCAATACCTATGTTTACAATTTTCAAATTTATTCCAAGAAATTGTCTTTACGTTAGGCCTTGAAATCAGTAGGAAATAGATACTTGTCATAGAGGAATATTAATTTCAAAAGCCAGTTCTAATTAACTTGATAAGGAATTGAAAGGTAATTTTTACGTGTACATGTATTTTAGGATTACAGAAGCAATGTTGAAGGCAGATGAAATCATAAAGATTCCTGGAAAGAACGGGTAAACAATGTCTTCATCATAATAAACTCACTTAGTATGCAGAAATAGAAATACAAATATAGATGTAGCTTTAATAACTGATTTTGCAAAGACTATTAATGTTTAATTACAGCTGTATATACATGTATTCAAATAGGAACAAGATGCATTACATAAATGTGTTTCCTTTAGTTTTTTTTTTAAAATAAGGTTCAAAAAATTAATGAGGTAATTCAACATTTTATACTCTTGTGTGTTATATAGATATTGTATGTACACAAGGAAGAGTAAGCTAGGCTTAAAAATTTTTTAATTTTTAATCTACAGTAAAACTCGGTTATAGCGAAGTCTTCGGGACCTGTGAATTTAATTCGCTATATCCATAATTCGTTATATCCGTTTAACGAATTCGTATAACCATTATAGCGAATTCGCAATATGCATGTTTTCTTTCAGGTTTTACTACCAAATATGTTAGGGAAGCAAATATTACAAAACATATCTTCGATAACTAAGGTTTTATTATGAATTGAACTACCAAATATGTTACGGAAGCAAATATTACAAAACAAACTTTCCAAAAAAGGTTTTATTATGAATTGAACTTTATATACAGATGCTAAAAGAAAATAAAGTCAGTTCAATTTATCAAATTTTTTATAATCTTGGAAAGTTCGTTATAAAAGATGTAAATTTCATTATATTTAACCTCAACGGGACTCAAAATCAGTTCGCTATATCCGTAAATTCGTTGTATCAGAGTTCGTTATAACCGTAAATTTTTTACAAAGATTTGTTAACAATTTTGCCGGGGACCTAGGAAAACTTCGCTATATCCGTTTTGCATACATGTTTTGCATACATTAAAGTTTGGATTTTATCCATTTTTTACTGCACTTAGAGAGTTGCGGAAAATGTCCGAGTCAGTAGATGATATGGAGGCCTACCAGAAGCTGGCAGATGACATCTTCCAGAAGATTCTGTGGTCCACCGATCCTGGTCTGGAGGAGGCGAGGAAGATTCTGATGAACGTCCAGAAGAGGGAGCTGTACAAATGTGTCGGACAGACACGCCCCCCACAGGGGGAAACCCTCGATCAGGTAATCCAGAATGTCTGCCATCCAGATTACAATTATTGGTTCAGTTTGTTTTACTTTGGTTGAATTTTTAAAAGGTTACATGTATTTTTAAAAAATGCCATTCTCATATATTGTATATTCCCGTATGGCATTTTCATTTCTAGTCATAAAGACAAAAAAAAAATAATCCAAATGTGAATAAGCAAATCTGATTTGATCAATTTAATAAGCCAGATACAAGTATATTGTACATGTATTTCCTACTTTATGCCCAATTCTCTCTTGGTATTTGGTAGCAACTTAAGTTGATGGACATTTTATTGCAGAACTGTCTGAGATACAAGATATTTGCTCTGAATGTATTACTGTATTGTATGCTGAAGATTTTTCACTTTACTTTATTTTATTGTCCTTTTATCCAATTTTCCTTTGAAATTCTATGAAAGCCATTGCATTACGTAAGAGTTCTTTGATGAAGCACCCCATTTGAGATGCAGATTAAACCTCTCTTTGGTACACTGTGTAATATATCACCTTTCATTCCTTTTCAGACTGGACTAGACCAAATTAAAGATGAATTGGTTGGCATTTTGAACAGCATGGACAGTCATCTTCAGAAAGAGGATATTATAATACATGTAAGCTTAGAGTGATGGATTATAGAAAAAAAAGATCAAATAATTTAAAGTGGATGTAGTATATACTGTTGGTATAGATTGATTAGCAACACATAGTGCCATGATATCAGTATTATTATAGTAGTATTTCTAAGACATTTATGTATTTGACATCTTGATCAACAGTAAACTTTTCTCAGTCTATGTAATTATACAATTTTAGTTGGTATACCTGGACTATGGCATGAAGGATAAGAATCCGATAGATCATGTTCGCTTTTACAACAAGAAAGATCCCACTGAGCCAATCCAAGTCAGAAAGAATGAGGTACACATATTTAATATTCCGCATTCTACCAGTAGGATTTTTTATCTAAAATTGAATGTGAATGAAATTTATTTGCGAGTTTTTTTCTCTAAATGAATGCTAGGTGTCGGACTTGCTTCCAGAGAGATTCGCAGAACAGCTGATCAGATTCTACTCCAAGAAACGAGATGAAGAAAGTATTGACCAGGCCACTCAGGCATTCAGAGTGTGGAGTAAACAACACCATTGTTCAGTGGTAAGACTGATTTAATAATCAGAAGATCTCTGTTTTGAACTCTATGTAACCATTAGGTGTGTTGGATTGGAATAAAATGTTTTACTTGTACATTTGTACATATATTAAAGCTAGTATAAAAAAAATTAAAGCTGGTAAATAAAATTGGCACAACAAAAATATAAAAAAGCTAGGTTCTGGAAAATATTGTGTGCACAAATGACAATACACACATTGAGGTCTATTATATTATTGAATAATTTTTCGCTTTCTCAATGTCTGAGATCAAACATTTAAGAAAAGTTAGATCAAAAGGAAACAAAATATCAAATCAATGCAATTATTAGTTATTAAAACTTAATGTTCACCTGCACCTGACCTCCCAGGTGAACATGACGTTTATATTTTTCTACATTAACAAAACTTCTAAATTGGTACAGTTTGTTATGAAAAAGACATTTCAACTGCACTTAACTTCCAGGTAAACATTGATCAAGAAATTTTGAAATAATACAACTGTTTATCTTGTTTCTCTCACTGCATTCAGACAGGGCAGATATAAACAGTCAAGATGGATGCCAAGGTGTGCTTTATAATGAACATCATTTATTCTCAATCAATCTGATTAGCACCCTCAAAGTACAATATTCACCTCACCATTTGACCTTAGTGAATATTGTTCACCTTGGATAGCTATTTTAGATCATTGCATTGGCATTAAAATCAGCAAAAATTGTATAAAATTGAGCAAGATTTTTTATGGATTTGAATTTCAAGCTTCATGACTGGAGACTTTTTTAATTACCGGGTAAATGAAAATTTAAGAGTTATCCTTCCTAGTAGAGAATTATTTATCCTTAATGAATAACCATAAGAATGATTTGTAGGGTGCTGACAGCCTGTACCCATACATGACTCCAGTGAAGTCTGATTCCATGGCACAGGACGGTACGAATGACAGAACTCCGAGTTCTACTGGAATTACAACCAATCAGAACACTCCAGGGTCGGCCAGTAAATTCAAGTCTCGCCTCTCCTTCAACTGAGGTTTTATTAATTGCCATATTGCACTGTCTCACTCATAGAAGCCATTTTATAATGTTCTTTTATTAAAGTTGATAGGAGAGGTCCAGGACGTATAAGTATTATGTGTATTGCTAATGTATTCATCATAATTTTATTTTGCTGAATTTTTCTTTTTTCTTCCATATTTTATCTGAACTTTCCTTTACATTTTTGCTTTGAAACCAAATGCCTATTGGAAGACTCATACAATGAAGTTGTAGCGAAAGGTTGAAGATGGTGATTTTATCCTGTGTGTCCATTTTTACCCGTGTGTGTAAATCAAACAAGTAAAATCGTTTTGCTGATGATGTATTAAATATTTCCAATTTATTATTTTACAAAGGTTGAAGTAAATTTTATTGTATTAGGTCTTTATATTAAGGTTTATTGTGATTTTGTTCTGGGGAATGAAGTTTAAATGTATTGTTGTTAATTTATTTCATTCTTCCTACGCTGCCAAACTTTATCTTTTACTGTGATTTTAAAACCACTTTAGTTGTTCAGAAGGAGAAAGACTTCTTTAAAATTTGTTGTTGTTGTTTAATTGATTTTGAAATCCTCTGCATTTTATTGCATATTAAGAAATCCATCTCTATACCAGATCTGTCTAAACAAGATCTCTGACTGTATTCAGCAACTTATTTTTTGAATAAATTATGTAAATTTTTTTATTCAAATATTTAGAAATGACTATTAACATATATTGCACGTAGGAAATCCATCTCTTAACCAGTATTTCTGTCTAAACAAATTCTCTATAATATTTAGCAACTTCTTACTTTTTCAACATCTATATTTTTATAGAAATATATAGAAACGTAGTGAATGTTTTGAACGTCAATTACATAATCCGCCCAGTCATTTTCAATTATTTCTTGCTAATGTTTTAGACTTGTTACATAATTTACCTGAAATGGGGTTTTATCAGTTGATTAGAGACTCTCCTTCAGTAAAACACAAATTGTAACGAATTTACATATTTTTGAACTTATCTGTGATGATCACCACAACACATGTTCGGTCATCTTGTGACTTTTTATTTAAACTGTATTTCATGGCTATTATATTTATGGAAAAATATTCCAGCTGTCAATAGACTTTTTTAGTAAAGAAATTTGTCAAAGATGACAATAAACGTATAGATGTATAACGTGCAGTAATGAAATATTCAATGCGCTCATTGTGTATTTCTAACAAATATTGAACTTTTAAGCATGAAATGACTTAAAATTCCAAGTCATTTTCAATTATTTCATTGCTAACTGACTTGTTAATAATTTACCTCTTGTATCAGTTGATTATCCTCAGCACATGTTTAATTTTCACATACACTGATCTGTGATGATCATACCCGGTCATCTTGTGATCTTTAGTTACTGTATTTCATGTGACATGACGTGTCAAATAATATTCCAGCTGTCAGTTAGACTTTTTAGTAGAAATTTTCAACTTCAGTATAGTGTATACATGTAACTGGCAATAATTAAGAAATAAATAACAAGTTTATAAACTTCAATGGGAATTGAAGTGGGTCGGTCACGTGATCAAATCCTGTGAAGGCCGAATCCTTCTTCAGGATATATATGATCACGTTATCAACAGCATTTTACTCAATTCGCCATTTTATTTGTTATTTATTACTTATATATACATTTGAGACGGACAATTGAATATTTTCGAATATTAATTATTGCACTAACCTTACGTCGTAGATTTTGAAAAATGACGCAAGGTGTAAATCGGCTTGAATGGCGGTTACGCTTCGATTCTATTTCGAAGGGAATATTTTGTGAAAGGCTACTTGTGATTAGTACTAGTGAAAAGATTGTTGTCTGGGAATAATTTTATTTGTGTGAATTGATAATCAATGCTGAAATCAGACACAAAAACACGTGAAGATCGCTGATAAAAAGTTGGAGGAATTTCGGTCGCTGGAAAATGAGGGATGGATGCGATGATAAAAACTTAACCGAGCCAGTAATTTGCAATCAAGCATTAAATTTGATCAAAAACATTCACGATTTCAATAACTAAATGTATAATTATGATGTAAACACGGAGACTGGCGACAGCTTACAAAATTGAATACGACAAAGAAGGTGTTTATTTTCGTGATGTTTTATATTTTCCAACAGATTTTCACATTTATCGTAAAATTTAATGAATAAAATATAGTTTATCATGAATTTAACTTAAGGATATAAGGATAAACGTTAGAGACTGTACAGCTGACAAAAGTGACAAAAACTCGTGAACAAACTTACAAAGGCTAGATCTAGTTTCTATGTACAAAGGTTAAATCGATAACCAAAAAACTGTATGAAATACTTGTTTACATTGTAAATAAAATAATCATTGTTTTACTAGCTACCTTTGTTCATTTTTATACATGTAGAGCAAGTCATTTCATATTGATGTATCGGTAGATATTATTGCACCGTGTGATTAGGTCATGTATTGACCCCTGACCTCTGACAAACTTCATACAGAATTGAAGATATTTGTTCTCTGCAGTGACGTCACTGTTCTCTGTATGTTTAGGTGTCATAACAGTATTACACTTTGGTTCACGTCAAATCATGGCTGACGCAAAATAATTCCGGAATCTTCCCTTCCGATTCGGGCATTTTGATACGATTTCTCTAAGCTGAATTTTTTTATAATGAAAAACAACATGTAAATTCCTGTATTGACCAGATTTATTAAAATTTAGGGCGTGCTGATTTTTCTGTATACTGAAAATGTATTATTTCCCTGGACTAGATTTTCAAGCACTGCTCTGTGACCGATCAAACTTGCACCTTGCTGGATGGCTTGTATTTTTTGGTACTAAAATCTTTATAAAAAATGATTTTACAAGATCTGAGAAGGAAACTTCTCAGAAGTTTGTTTTGAATTAGTTACATCTACTCAAACTTGCGCATTTTTGGTAAGAATATATAGCAGAAATTAATACTATTGTGACACCTTTATATAATGGAGAGATACCACAAATGTATATATTGAAATATCAATGATCTATTCTGTTTTCTTTAACATCAATTTAAACTTTTAAGCATGTGCATCTACATGCATATTTTTTTTAAATGAATAGTTGTTTTCCAAAATACATCATCTTGGTATGCCATGTGTCTGATTCATATCATCTAATTTTTACCTTGGTAGATTTAGTAGGTGTAGTGATAATACTGCCATATTATGATTTAATTATTGTATCATTCTTGGCGTAACAACTTGTGCAATCAATGGAGATACATGTATTTCGCAACAAATGGGTTTACCAAAAAATGTCCCGCCCCGAGTATACATTTGAGGGTATATATATACTTGAAAAGTTATATCAGAATGAATTTGGGTTCAATCCAGTTTTTTTTTTTACAATTGAAGCAATTTAATTCGATGTTAGGGAACAATATAGTGTGAGCTTGAAAACGTAGGTTAATCAGCTGAGGGGATAGGAATCGGACACTTGGCAAGGGAGGATGCAAATATATACATATTACATCACTGTATTCAGGGCTATATATATACAGTTATCAACAGATCTCTTTCATATCCATAACTGATTCCTTATCAATTAAGTTCATATCCAGTGGATTTTTTTTTTTACAATTGTGCAATATTTGCTTCTGTCTGAACCATTTGAAAATTTACTGGAACTTATTGTTACCACATTTGACAGCCAAAACATAATTTTATACTTACATGTGTGTATATCTTATTTAGTTTTAATTGTTTGCAGTGCATGTTTCCCTAGTTTGTGTTTAATGTAGGACGTTTTTCTTTTAATTTAAATTTTCTCTATTTACCTTCTGATATCTGTCTCTTATCGTGTGCCAACTTTTGTTTTTTATTTGCTTGATTAGTGCTTTTATTTATTCTCGGAGCAGTTTATCTGTGTTTTAACCTTGCATTGTTTTTATTAAAGCAGCGTACCTAGTATGTTTTGCATGTTGTTGTTAAGAATTAGATATTTTTATCTTGGTTTATTTCTCTAGACTCTAAAGTTTTTTTTAATGGTTCAAGCAATAGATAAGGAATGGAAATTGTTTAATGCCAGAATAATTTAGTGATTGTAAACATATGTACATGCATGTGTAGTACTGAAAATGTATTATACAGCATGTATGATATTTGGATTCAAACTGGGAAGAAACGTTAGCACAGATGTAATATAGTGGTTTCTGTATTTGTTATAAAATTAATACATTTTACGATGTACTGGATTAAGTAGAAATCCATCCTATACAGGTGCTACACAGACAACACTGCCAAAAATTATATGTTCACAGTTTTTGCTTAACAGTGTATCAGGTTCTGTATTATTACACTGCATTTCTCAGTTTGATTTAGTGAATTATATAAGACTGCTAATGTAAAATTTACTTTTAACTTGTATTTAATGTTTTTTTATATAGACATTTCTGTTTTACATTATACATTTACATCTATAAATTGTAATTCATACTTTATGGTGCTGTTGACTTCACTTCCATCTAAATTGGCAGGGCAAACGTCAAGGTTTTTTGTTTTAAGTGATAAAGGGCAGTAATTCACTTATTCGTAAATTCTGATGTGCAATCAAATGACAGTACTAGTATGTTTTGAAAAATAATTACCACTGATATTAAATTCATATGTGTTTTAGAAGTTTTTGAATAGCTGCTATTATAATACCTTTAAGGATAAATATGCTGTAACACAAGTATTTTTACTCAAACTTTAAGGTTCATAGTTTTTCTTCTTTATATACATTTTTTGCTTGAATGTGAACTATTTTTCAAAAGAAATCCAGGGTAATGTCATTTATCTGAGAGAGCATTGTCTGTATTACCAGTGAGTCAATAAAACAGTTCATCTAGTGTGTTTACACTTACCTGGAAGTATTTCACGTTGGAATTTTTTTTTTGAATATTGTTGTGTTATTTGTGTGTGAGGGTGTGTGTGTGTGTGTGAGGGTGTATGTGTATGTGTGTGTGTGTGTGTGTGTGTGTGTGACTTTGTTGTGATGCCAGGCTTCTTGTACCTATTTCTTTATACATGAAGCTTTTGCTCTTTCTTTATTTAAATTTAAAAACAGTACTTTTGTCTGTAGGGTATATTTTAAATAATTCATTTTTGTAATGATTGAAAAAGCACATTGTAGGTATCCCAACCTTCTTTTGTTGTTGTTGTTGTTGTGTAATAATGTAACCAGCATGTTCAACTACTGTATTCTTGTATTACATTATTATGCATACATAGAAATAAACTGCATGCTTATTACAAGCGTTTCACATTCATCAATAAATGCAATTGCTAAACATCCCATCAGTCAGGTAAGCTGATTTTAGACTTGAACATGCTCTATCCAGCGATTTTGGGGAGGGGGTGTCGCATAATTTACGTTCCGGATATTTCGCATTCCGACCGGAACCTGAAAATCATAATTTACGTTCCGGATTTTTTTTTTCAGTAGGGGCACTATTATAAAATACCAATTATTCATTTGTCAAGCCAAACAACAAAGTTTTTATTGATGGAGTTTAAGCATATAGTACATGTAGCTGAATTTTCTATTCATGCGGTCTATATATCGACAGAATTATTGGCAGCAACACTCCCCATCCTGGTTCCTACAGTCATGCTATCTTTATCAAGGTTCCACTCGATCACCGATGTAAAACGTGGATTTACCAGAAAGATCCTTAAATTATGACGATATTATCAAGGAGCAATGAACTTTAATAGTTATAAATGCTTATACGTTTTACATAGATTCTCTAAGATATATATGCACAATATATTTTTCATACTATATCTATTGGCATTATAAACTATATATGCTTATATCGCACCGATTCAACAAAAACGGACGATTGTCCTTTTCTATGATATCCGGATAGAGCCACGCAGTTCACTATCGCACCATCGAACATCTTTTTAAAGGTCGGTCGATTGCTCGATAAAGGGATGACGATGCGATTGCTTGACAATCTTATAACGAGTATGCGATAGTACGATGAAGCCACAGTGAATATCGCTTCATCGACATCGTACCATTAGGAGAATAAAATATAACTAGATGAGATCTCGTTGCGAGCAACGAGTAGGTCTTCCGTCGTATTTTTCGATAAGACGAGATATGATTTTCTCTATTTTAATGAAATTCTTTTGATTTAGATAACATTATCTAATAGTTATAGATGAAAGTCTTGCCCTTCTAGGCCCCTTATTTAAGGGGTCAGCCCCTTTATCTTCATATCAAATGATAAGGCTCGTGATTTGAAAGATTTTTTGTTCAACAACTATTCATAAATTTCTTTTCGTTTTCGAGCTATGCGGAATAGAAATATATATGGGCCAGTCCTTCAAGTCCTTAATGTGGTCGTTTGGCTAAAATTGAATGGTTGTATATTGTTAAGAATACGATACTGAGCATCTTTTATTCAATACTGCTTCTCAAAATATTTCTCCTTTTCGAGATAACATTGTGATTGATTTTGATATGTGACATAAAGAATAAAATTGGTCATAGAAATCCCTAATGAATTGTTTTTGGCATGAAAAAAATACCAATAAATGTAAATTAGTATTATTATTTTTTTTTAATATATGAGGTATTACAAGATTTGATCAATAAATAAATTATATGCCTTAGATAAATAAAAAGATATGGGAAATATTTTACGACCAGAAGTGATGTCGTGCCATTTTAAAAAATGTAGAATTTTTTTTTAAATCGTTTGAACGATTTAAGAAAACGTTTGTACGATTTAATAAATCGTTTTCGTTTGTACAATTTAATAAATCGTTTGTACAATTTAATAAGTCGTTTGTACAATTTAATAAATTGTTTGTACAATTTAGTAAATCGTTTGTACAATTTAATAATTCGTTTGTACAATTTATTAAATCAAGACAATTTATTAAATCGATACGATTTTTTATATAGTTTGTACGATTTTTATAAATCGTTATTTATGCCTTACGAAAGAAAACGTTTGTTTTAAAAGCTTTGTTTGTACGATTTGATAAATTGTACAAACGATTTAACAAACAAATTGTACAAACGATTTATTAAATTTAAAACGATTTACAAATTGTACAAACAATTTATTAAATCGTACAAACGACTTATTAAATTGTACAAACGATTTATTAAATTGTACAAAAATTAAATTTAAATCGTTCAAACGATTTGAAAATTTTTTTCTACATTGTTAAAATGGCACGAATAAGCCGTCGTGGAAAATAAAACATGGTTATACATTTAAATGTGAAACAGTATTTTTCACAGTACATGTACTAAACACCTTATAAATTTCACTCATATAAGTTTAGACAGAATTGCATTACAAAAATATTATTTTAATTCCATGTCGATTCAGTGGAACGTAAAGATAGACTGCATGGATTCAAATCTCATGTGATCTTTTTCTTTATGTGAAATGAGATTGTTCGCCTTGTTCTAGTTGGGAAGCAGGTATTGCCGATAGAGGGCGTACTCCAAAATTTGATTCTCTTCCTCACGTGACTTTTCCTTTTGAAGAAAAATATATAAAGCTGCCCCGAGGGTCAGCAGCAGTACAGCGTTGTTGGTGTTTAACGAGGCCATGGAACCGTTACCGTTTCCCGAAGGCGAAGGAGAGGTTGGAGCTGGAAAGAAGATAAAATGATTAGGTAATGTTCAGTTTACGTAATGGTTACGCAAACTGGTTAAAAATTTAAAGTTGCTTCTTTTCTAACCTACAAGTTCCTTTGTATTACTAATTACTACACTTGCTAAATTATAATCAGTCATTCTACCAAAAAAGAACCAACTCAAAGAATATAACATAAAAATAATTGCCGAAAAAGCTTAATTGAACAATAATATAGCAAAACAATTGGATAGAAAGAATTATCCACAAACCTGATATTGTAAGCAATTTGCATCAATTACGATATACCCATAGTGTTCTAGACAGCGTTATAGAAATTTATGCCGTTAAAATTAGATTCTTTATTATATCAAAGATATCAAGCAGAAGTATTATTTTGGAACGAAATGATAAATCTGTTTTCACTTCTCATAATTGTATTTCTTTGAAACAAAATCCCCTATTGTCGCATCACCGGTAACCCACGGGTGATTCACATCGATTCTCTCTATCATCATTGAGGGAGCTTTTGGGCTCAAAACCGCGGTTTGCGACGATGCTATTGTCGTTATGGAAGAAAAGTGAGGTTACCATTTTTAGAATTAATGTTGGGATATGGTAAAAGCATTGGATTTTACTAATATCGATCAAATAAGGTTTCATAGCCTCTTTTAGTTAACCCCCAGTTCATCATAATATCTGCATGGTTTGTGAACTGTGCAATTTAAAACAAGACAATCTGTGTGTGTGAATAATGAAATATATGGAGATAACGAACAGTTTTCAAGCTCAAAAGTCCATTAAACAAAACAAAATAGAAGCAGACAGGGACCTCCAAAACATCAGAGGTGGGATCAGGTGCCATGGAGGAGTGAACATCCTCTGCCGATCCGTCACACCCGCCGTGTGCTCCTTATCAAGATCGGGAAATGAGGAGAAAAAAAACGTCGACAATTCAATGCGTATATGATGACCTAACAATAAGTAAGAAAAAAGTCATTCTAATGCAATTGTTTTGTAAAACACTTTTTCATTGGCTAATGCACTGATGTTTGAAGCAGTAAAACGAGCATTAATGAGCGTGAAAGCTTTTTCATTGTGACGTCATAATAGAGCGACGCAAAAACACAATGCTCCGTGACGTATTTCATGTAACAAAATTCAACAAAATAAGAAGTAAACAACAAAGAAAATGCATGGATTGCATTAGAATTAGGGAATAACTAATCTTCTAATATGGTATTTGCGACCGTTAATGCTGATTTAGCGGTAAAACTCAGTTTGCGACCGTTAAATCAGCATTAACGGTCGCAAATACCAAATTAGAAGATAGTTATTCCCTAAATCAACATTTGACTTAATGATAAATTGTATGTTGACAAGGTCATTGTATCGACCATAGAACTTGCGAAATGATGACTTTAAACGAGACTGCTGATATTCTTGTTTCATCAAATTGTTAATAATTTACTTTAGGAATGACTCTAATTCTTGGCCAAATTATTCGATTATAACCTGGTTTGGGTCAGTTTACGCTTTATAATCCGCGAAAGAGCGAGCTACTGTTTGAAGTTAAAGGTACATTTATTAAATCTGGAATTTTCCATATAATCCCATGGACTGGAAATGTGGGGATTGCATAGATACAGATGAATCAGCTGGTTGTCAAGGGGGTGTGTCCCCATACCAAACCAGGTTATCAAGAAATGGTTTGCGTTCCTTTTTGGAAATCAACCAATGAGAGACTAGAATAGAAACAAAATTAAATTATATCGTTTTAGAAATTGTTCATACGTAGGGTATGCTCTTGCGTATCGAATAAACTAAGAGATATAAACTCCGTATGCATGTGATGAAGATTGCTGTATAAATAAGGAAAGTTGACGATTGAAAAGTTAAAATCATCACGTTTATCATAAAGCTTGGTTATTAGATTACAATTAACGTCTTTTTTAAGTAATATATCCAAATATGAAACAGATGTGTCAGACTCTGTGGTATCTTTTATCTCAAGCTCACCAGGATATATCGTATCGACGTAAGAATGGAAAAAACAATTGTTTATTGACAATACTCGTCGGTATATCTAAATGTCGAGTTGAAGGCCACAGCAAGTGTTTTCCTCTTTTCACATATTTTGAATTTAGATTTTGGTGAATTCCAAAACTTTAAGAGAAGTTGACAAACATATTTTTGAAACAAGAATATCAACAGTCTTGTTCAAAGTCATCATTTCGTAAGTTCTACGGTCGATACAATGGTCTTGTCAGCAAATACAATTTATCATTGAGTCAAATTCTGATTGACGTTTTTCATACTACTTGTGTGTCCATTATTTACACTGAATTGACGACGGTTTTTTCCGTTATTTTCCGATCATAACAAGGGTGTGGCCAGCGGCAGGGGATGCTCACTCCTCCATGGCACCTTATCCCACCTCTGATGTTTTAGAGGTCCGTGTTTGCTTTGTTCCTATTTTGTGTTATTTTATGGACTTTGGAGTTTGAATACTGTTCGTTATCTCCATACATGTCATTTATATTTTCATATTTAAAAAAAAACAACATTTATAGTAGGGCTAATATGAAAAACCAAGTATGCGTATGGAATTTATAGCTTATATTGATATTTTAAATTAATGATAGTATGACGTCACAATGCTTTTTATGCCCCCTTAATGGAAGATTCGAGGTTTTATAGTTTTTAGCCTTGTTCGTCTGTTTACCTCCTTGTCCGCAAAAACTTGAACCTTCTCGATAACTTTTGAGTGGGTTGGGCTATGACTTTCATATTTCGCAAGTGTACTTAGTATTCCGTGTGACAAGACCTTTCGTTTGGTACCACCAAATTTGACCTCGTAACCCTGACTTTGAGTTTTGTCTGTTGGAACTTTTGAACCATTAGTACTAGGGCTTTCATATTTCACAGGTGTATTCCTTGTGACAAGACCTTTCTTTTGAAACGATCAAATTTGACCTAGTGACCTTGATCTTGGATATTGGTCAACTTAAAAACACTTTAATCTTGACCATAACTTTTGAACCGTTAGTACAAGGGATTTCATAGATGTATTCCTTGTGAATAGACCTTGCACTGGGTACCAACAATTTTTGAGCTTTTGACCTTGACTTGGAGTACTAGTAACTTGCATTCTGAAAAAAATTAAACTATCGCCATAAGCTGCCATTCGGGGGCATCAGTGTTTCACAAACAAATATTTTTGGATATAAAAATTATGAATTAATTTTTTTTTAGTAGATTTAATATGACTATTTAGTATTTATGCTTTGAGATTGAAGAAGTGTAATAGCATGCCTGTTTTATCATATTTTAAATTTAGTTTATATCACACCTGTTTGACAGTTCGCTCCCGTGAATCCATTTATACATGTACAGGAGTTGGGCCCAAGGTTACAGAATCCTCCTCCTGCTGCTGAGTTACAGTCTGTATCCGCCATACAATTCCCTCCTCCTACATACAGGAAGTTAATACGCGGTTAAGAAATAAAACATGAGTTTTATGATATGAAGTGCACATTTCAGTTGCATTTTCAGTTGGAGAATTTTCATAATTACCTTGTGCGTGAACATCTGGAGACGATCCTGAAGAAATGGAAAATAGAGAGCATTTTAAAAAAAACCTCTAACATTCTTACGGATTAACTTTAAATTAATAAATGTAATAAAAATGATTCAAATAATTTTTATCTGTAAATGAGAATATTTTTAAAGTTACCTAGAAGTATAAGAAGAACCAAGATGAAGTGTGTCAGAATTCCTCGTCGTCCCATCTGTAAAATAAAAAATACTTATCAATGAGCTTCTGTAGCAAAGCTTCTTAAAAAAAAATTATAGTACTTCCTTTAAGTCACATAGCAACTTTGTTAAAATTCAAAAGTTTTAATGAACAAAAGCAGGAGCAGAGCAAACACGGACCACCGTGTGCTCCTTGTCATGATTCAAAAAAAGAAGGGTAAATCAACAAAAAACATTAGCTCTGAAGAAATATTTTTCCGACTAGACAATCCAGTGTATAAATAATGCCTTAACAATTAATATGAAAATCGTCAGTCAGCATTCAATACAATGATTGTATTTCTCACAAGGTCATATATTGTATTGACCATGGAACTTGCTAAATGATGAATTAAAACGAGACTTTTGACATAAATTCTTGTTTCTGACAACAACTTAATTGTAAATAACTTGCCTCGTTTTAGAAATTGTTCGTACGTATAGCATGATCTTGCATACCTAATCAATTGGGAGACAAACACTCCATATGCAGGTTATTAAGGTATATATTGCTATACATAAGTAAGGCATTTGACAACAGAAATATTACGTTTGTCATAAAGTAACTATAATTGTTAATTGATATATCGAAATGTCGATTTGAAGGCCACAGCAAGTGTTTTCTAACTCAAGCATCTTCTTAATATCATGTTAGAGCACTTGTTTGTACAACAAGAAAATAATTTTGCAAATGACCAATGACAAGTAAATCTACATGGTTCATTTTTAATGAAACAGCAGCTGTCGGTGTTGTCATCAAGTCTGGACTTCGATTTAACATGGGAAATGGCTCTGAAAAGTGTTGAAAAGTCGAACGATTTGATGATATTAATTTTCGTAAAAAATATTTTAATTTTTCAAAATTTTAAGAATCCACATCTAATTTACACCATATCTCAAATATGTTGTAGTACAGTATTCCTGATGGTATTTTAATTAAAAGTAAGGAAAGATTCTTGGTAGAACACATACTGGAAACCGGTATGTATCTTTGTTTGTAAGGATTTTATGAAGTTAGGAATTCCGCATAAGAATGGTTATTCAAAATCATTTTGATTGTTTGGAATATCAAAAATATTTAAAACTGACAATTGAATTTCATTCTTGGAAATGTAACTCTAAGTTGGATTGCCACTTGTAGAATTAAATTCAGGTTTCTATAAATTACAACTATGCCATTAAAATAATACCAGGTAAGCCTTTTACCTGCTATGTCAGTTGGGACCGGTGCATACTGATAGTGTAATCAATTTAATTCTTTTAACCCTTTTGAATCATTAAGGACAGACGTAGAAATGTTTTTAATTTGCCCCTGAATTGATTATACAAAATTTTAACTTGCCTCTGATACTTTTGATCATTATCTACAGGCACGTAGCATCGTTTTTGAAAAAGTTGACAAGCAAAAAAAAAAAAAGAGAAAGAAAAAAAGGAAATTGCCCAAACTCGAAAATCCTATTTCGTGGGGGGGGGGGGGGCAAGTTTTTCAAGGCCAACTTCCTATCACTTCCAATTTTTTTGGACACAATAGTACATTTCCTTGATATCAATGTACTGTGGGAAAAAGTGGGGGGACCAACCTTTCAATGGACATTAGTAGTAAAGGTAATGTCGGGAAAAAACGTGTTGCTACGTGCCTGATCTATGTGCCAAAAATAAAAAACCTTTACCTTTTCACTGCTGGACTCAATTGCTTATGAAAGAGATCTGTCTGTTATTAATTTTTAATTAAACAAATGATGTATAGATTCATTTGTACACAAAATATTTTCTTAATTTTTTTTTACATGCACATACTTTATTTTAACTTATTATAATCGTCTTGATTTTTGGTTCCAATGTGTATTTTTCATTTATTTAAAAAAATATTTTGTTTAATTATTTGTCACAAACAAAAAAAACTTGTGCTTAATCTTTTTCCCCTTGAACATCTAAATTATTAAAATGTTAATACAAAATGATCTGCGTTCTTGATAATCTTTTAAATAATGTGCAATCATTGACGAATTGCACATTATATTAAAGATAAGAATGAATTTGATAACTCGACAATTTCGTACATGTACTTCAAAAAACTTATCAATTCAACGGGCCCGTACATGTGGCAACGAGTTCCTTGTCAAGTTCTTTTTAAAAAAAGATTTAAAGAATAAATGAATAAAAGAATAAATGAGTAAAAGTAGTATTATATTTTGTCAAGTTATGCATAATTTTGTTAGACTTAAATTTAGGGTTGTTACAATATTACAAATTTATCATCAATTTAATTAACAGGATATTTTGCGATCACGTATCTTTTTTTTTAGTTGACATGTACATCGAAGAAACTTTCCGTTATCACTAACTAAATCACTGGCAGCAGGAAAATTCTTGAAAAAATTTAGGAAACCAAAAAATTTTTCAGCACGTATACATGTACATGATTTTTTTTTCTGTTTGAAAAAAAAATAGAAATTAAAAGGTTCATTCAATGGCATTTTTAAAACGGAATGGTTATATTTTCATCAATTAAGTCTGAATATTAAAATATTGTGTCAGCATGTTTAGCAGAAAATGAATGCATAAAAGTAAATGAAATATACTGTAAAGCTTACCATTAATTTCCAATTCCGGAAATTAAATATCCAAAAATATAGAGAAAGACTTTAAACGAACTGTTAGCCTTGGTTCATTGTAATACCATCCTATACTGGTAGGGGAGAACTCCATGTAAACTGGATAAAACGATGTAATGTCGGGTGACACGTGACGAGGGATTATTTCTGTGTTACCCGACAGAATGATCAGTGACCCTGAGGGAATATTTTACAACCTAAATGATGTATGGTGTTTCTCTTCCTGGAGCTCATTGAGTGATATTAAATTTATGTGTTTTTAAATGGAAAATTTGCATTTAGGAGTTATTGTAATATATAAATTCATGCAGAATCTTAGAAATGTTTATCTTTTTAAAAAAAAAAAAGACTCGACTAGTCCTTTTCAAAGTCGAATCAAAATGCAGAATACATTTTCCCCGTCTAAGGTCATATTCAACGTACAGTGTGTACATGTACTTTAACAATATTCCTTCTTACTGAATATTTTCAATATTTAATATAATACACGTGGATTCCTAATTTAAAATCAGTGTACCATCAAAAGTTTTAAGACAAAAAGAAAACATTGTACGATACCAGAGATTTTGAACAGATATGAAGTTAGGACAATCATTGTGTATTTAAAAAAAATAAAAATAATTTTTATATATATATATATATATATATATATATATATATATATATATATATATATATATATATATATATATATATATATATATATATATATATAAAGTACTTTAGTATATGGATTTATGGCACGTATTTCCTCAAATTCACAGAAAATGTAGCTATTATATCAGGTATAATTAAATACATATAGAACAAAAGTCCTTTAGTTATTAGAATTCTATGGCACGCCAAATTCACAAAAATAAGCTAATCATAGTTTCACAATCGGTAAACTAGGCTTATTGGTTGTAAACTATAGTTTACGGACTGTAAACTATAGTTAACAACGTTAATCTATATTTTACATCTGTAAATCATAGTTAACGCGATAATCTATATTTCACAACCGTAAACTATACTTAACACCAAAAACAATCATAAATTTGCGATCGCAAAACATAGATTATCTGATAAATACAGTTTCACGATTTGTAAACTATGGTTTACAACTCTTAACTATAGTTAACGATCGTAAATTATAGTTTACATACGTGAATCTATGTTTATCAACAAAATCTATTGTTAACGTTTTATTACAGACAGATAAACTAAGATTAGCATTCGTAAACTATAGTTAACAACCGTTAGATATAGTTTTACAGATGAAAACTATAATTAACGAATTGTAAACTATAGTTCACGGTTTGTAAACTATAGTTTACAGTCGATAAACCTAGTTTGTCAATTGTGAAACTAGGTTTAGCACGCCAAATTCACAAAAATAAGCTAATCATAGTTTCACAGTCGATAAACTAGGTTTATCGGCTGTAAACTATAGTTTACGGACTGTTAACTATAGTTAACAACGTTAATCAATATTCTACATCTGTAAACCATAGTTAACGCGATAATCTATATTTCACAACCGTAAACTAGAATTAACACCAAAAACAATCATTTGCAATCGCAAAACATAGTTTATCTGATAAATACAGTTTCACGATTTGTAAACTATGGTTTACAATTCTTAACTGTAGTTAACGATCGTAAATTATAGTTTACAGACGTGAATCTATGTTTATCAACAAATTCTATTGTTAACATTTTATTACAGACAGATAAACTTAGATTAGCATTCGTAAATGATAGTTAACAACCGTTAAATATAGTTTTACAGATGAAAACTATACTTAACGAATCGTTAACTATAATTAACGGTTTGTAAACTATAGTTTACAGTTGATAAACCTGGTTTATCAATTGTGAAACTAGGTTTAGCCCATTTTTGTGAATTTGGCGTGCCATAGAACTCCTATTACAATAGGAATACAAAACTTTTTAAAAGTTCATTACGATGTGTATGTCCTTAACTAATGTTAACTTGTAATTTTACCATTTCAATCTGTAATGTAGCTTACGCTTTATATCTCGGACTGGTGACGTATATTAGCGCCATTTTTTTTCGATTCCTAAAACATATGTGCCATGTTGTTGAGAAGACGGAAATCTCTAATGAAGGCAAGAGACTTCGAGATTTATTCTTAAAAAAAAAACAGGCATGTTCGGAAATTTCATATACTTTCTTACTATAATTGCGCTAGTTTACGTCACCAGTCCAACTCTGTTCTTTGATGGATTATGTAACACAAAAAACAAACAAAACAAAAGTAAAGGGAAGGAGGAGTCATAGAGAAGCATATAGGTTGTTTGCAGTTAGTATAAAGATTGTGTGATCTTGGGTTTGTGTACCCTTGGTTGTAACTTGTGCTTTCAAAATTAAAAGTTAATTTTGTTAAGTTATCACATACCTACATGCCCTAATTTTCCTCTATATGTTACCAGAAAGACATTTTGTGTGAAAAAGGTGAAAAAGAATCCGTGGTGTCTTTTTTTAAGCTCACAGCTGGGATATACCGAGTCGATATATAAAAGGTAGAAACGTTTGTTTTAAAATTGATAAAACGTCGTCCATATATCGAAATGTCGAGTTGAAGGCCACAGTAATTGTTTTCGTCTAATGTGTAATTTTTTTTATAAACTCTGCGTAGGATTTTCAAGAGATTGTTGGAAGACCCAAACTCCAGAAAACTACATAGATATTGTCAATCAGAAACTCAAGCATCTTCTTAATATCAACTTCAAAGTACTTGTTTTACAATCGGAATGTTTCTTAATTAAATAATTTTACAAATGACAAGATACGCATATTTACGAATTCCAATTCTATTAAAAAGACAGTCATCTATGGTGTAAAAAAACTTTCACATCAAATTTTTGTTGGGTATGGATGTATGACTTTTTAATGTTGAAAAGTCATGCATTTTGATATCATTGATTTCGGTAAAAAAAATTGTGATTTCGTATTTTTTTATAAAATCTCAATTAAAGCGTCTGAAGGGCAGTAAGAATTTTTTTTTCTTCTGTCTTCAATAATTCAGAACTGAAAAATAGATTACACGATCAATATGTATTGGCCACTCATGACAAAGCGGGTATCGTACCAACTTTGTATTTAATTGTGAGGCTTACTATTATTTCAATTGTATTTTTAGAGAAATTAGAATTTATTTCTGCAAACTCCCGTCTCATGCTCATAGTTTCCAGTCGTTAACGTCATAATTATCCTTATAAACAGATATTCAAAACAGGTTTGAGAAAATGTGAATGTTCCACCGAACCTTTTTCTTCACTGCTCATCAAAATATTGACAAAAGAGTCTTCATATCTGTTTCATATTAGGATATTTTACCAGAACGTTAAAACTTTAAGATAAACGCGATCTCATGAACATTTCTATCGACAATTAATTTCTCATATTTCTTGACCAAGATAATATCATGACTTGCAAGAAGGATATGGAGATAACGAACAGTATTCAATATCAAAGTCCAGAAAACAATACAAAATAGGAACTGAGCAAAAACGGACCTCCAAAATATCAGAGGTAGGATCAGGTGCCATGGAGGATTGAGCATCCCCAGGCGACCGGTTACTCCCGCCGTGTGCTCCTGGTCATTTTCAGAAAATAACGGAAATATCAGTCGTCAATTCAGTGTTTAAATAATGAACAATTAATATGAAAAACGTTAGTCAGCATTTGACTCAATGATAAATTGTATTTGCTGACAAGGTCATTGTATCGACCATAGAAATTACGAAATGATGACTTTACACGAGACTGCTGATATTCTTGTTTCAACAACTTGTTTGTCAATAATTTACCTTGTTCTAGAAATTGTTCATATAGAGCATGCTCTTGCGTTTCGAATCAACTGAGATATATAAACTCCGTATGCAGGTAATGAAGGTATATTGCTGCACAAGTAAGGGAATTGACGATAGAAAAGTTAAAGTCATCATGTTTATCATAGAGCTTGGTGTTAGATTACCATTGCGTCTTTTTAAAGTAAAATATCCAAATATGAAACGGATGTGCCAGACTCTGTTTTATCTCTCAGTTGATTCGATATACAAGAGTCTGTTCTACTTATGAACAATTTCTGAAATGAGGCAAGCTACCTACAATGAAGCTGTGAAACAACGATATTAACATTTCACAAAGTCTACGGTTAGTATAATGACCTTGTCAGCATATTAAATCTCTCGAATTAAATTCAAAATTGAATGACATGTTTAAACTAATAATAAGGACATTATTTTACAGTAAATTGATTTACCTGCTTACAAATGATATCACGGAACGCACTTCTGATGTTGACGGAGGATGCTTACTCCTCTATGGCATCTGGTCGTCTGTCTGGGACCCGTGTTTGCCTTGCTTCTGATTGGTAGTTTCAATGGACTTGTATGATAAATTTTCGTTTTTTTATTATTATTATTATTCATTGTTGATGCTATATCTGTATATTTGAACTCGAAAAAAAAGCAGACCAAAGAGGCTTACATTTCCCTTTCACATCGGGACATTTTACTAGAAAAAAGACGTTAATGGTACCCCGACTACATAGCTTTATGAAAAATATGATGACGTTTTAAAAACATTTTTATCGTCAACTTCCCTTATTCATGTGGCAAAACGAGATGAACACCATTAAAGGAAGCCTACAGAACCAAACTTTGATTGTATGCATTGTAAATATCACTTTGTGAGTTTAAAATCAAAGCGTTTTCGTGGATCTTTTAGTATATTTCAAAGATCGGAATAAACTTAGTACTACTTAAATGTAAAGAAATGAAAATGAATTAAAGGATTTAAAAATATCAGGTTTAAGACAATGCAGAAATCAAACCTGCTGTGAACCATTGCAGAAAATATTATTCAACTATTCAAATTTATACATTAAATAAACATCAGGAAGAGAGTGTTTAGAAAGGAGTAACTGTCTGTACCTAAGATAAAGTGTTTATTGGCATATCTTTCATTCAAATTCAAAGTGCAAAGGTATTCACATTTGACTGCAAGTGAGCAAATGAATCTAGGTATATGTATTAAAATACAAAG